AACACATAATTATGAACATTTATAATTTAAATCATTAGTCATTACAACCAATAAAGTCAATCATTGTCAACATATGTTGTCCTTCGGTTGTATGATTAACGCCACATGATAGTCGAGAAGTAAATGGAATAAAAGGGTTTGTAGGTATGCGTAAAGTAGACAGCAACCCAACGAAGCACAAAAAACATCGAGAGATCAATACACTGTTATCAACAATCAACAGATGTCCACTCAACATGTAAAGTTCTAAACTGACGAAGAAAACACTGCATATAAAATAGTTGCAGGAGGGAAAATTATTAGCCGAAAAGACACTAAGTCAAATTAAATAAAAATAAAATGTACGAAAATATTACAAGTCTACAAATCACTTCTTTATAAAACTCAAGACTGATAAATACTAATACATAAAATGGACACAATCGAAGATCTGATATATGTCCATTTTAAACACTGTCATTTGGCACAAAAGTCTCATTTCTAACGTTACATGTACACTATTTTGAACAAATGAAATTGCAATTTGTTCTTCGATCAGCTGTAAATATTGTCAATTGGACGTTCTTACTCCTAATATATATATATATATATGCCTCGTGCTTTATCTGTTTATGACTAGTTTAAACGAAACATATAACAGAATTATTGATTTATCATTTTAACTTATTTTTTTGGTAACTTTAATGAAAAGGGAGAGGATTGATGGAGAAGTTATTCTACCTGAAAACAAACAATATTTTAGACAATTTACAATCCCATTTTGGATCCTTAAACATACAAAATGCGCGACATTCTCTGAATTTTAATATTTCGGGATAGTCGATTCTTTCTTTAGATTTGGCGTACAACATTACAGGAAAACACCTAAGCATGTACACATGCATTACAAGTACCAACTACTCTGCTATTAAAACGAGGACAATTATTTAATTTCGCCAAGGAATTTTGTATTAAAATTTTCTTTCTCTCCTGTCTTTTTAAGTGTTCATTTGTCATGATAATAATATATTTACTGAATAGCAAAGATGAGAATTGTCGACAACTAGTAACTGTAAATCCAAATAAGTTTATTATTGAACTTTACTCTCTATATAAATGTATACCTAATGCATTTTATTTTAAAGACCATCTACGAAATTCAATGAAAGGCGAGGATGATATCCGTCAATGATACAATGACCCAACGACAGAAATAGTTTGAAACTAGAGGCTCTAAAGAGCCTGTGTCGCTCACCTTGGTCTATGTGCATATTAAACAAAGGACACTCTCCAACATTGTATACGAGAATAGACTTCATGACAAAAATCTCTATTTTGTTGGTCTTGTATTACTGATCTTTTAGTCTGTTTAGTCTCTCCCTATCTTTTTTAGTTTTTGATAATACAAAAGAGGGTTAAAAAAATCCTCATTTCAGGTCAATCACTCTTATGAAGAGTGACAGTCTACTAACTATATCTTTAAATGGGATTTAGAATTAATCAGAAAAAAATCTCCGAAAACTAAATTATACGATGTCTTATTCCAATTAGAAAAAAATGACATTCTATGAAAAGTATGCATATGTACATACGCCAACTAAAATTATAAACATAATACCATTATTAACTCTAGAAGGAATTTTATTGAAACCTCCTTTTTCTCGTATTCTTGAAGATCCTATCCTAATCAAAATATATCTACTGATAAAAAAAATGTCAAGACTCGCCAACTACCATCTTAAGCTTATTACATGTAATTAGAGTTTGGATGGGAGTTCTTCATTTCTGTATTCTCTATTTTTTTAGGCCATTATTCTCTATTCTTTATATTTTAGCACCTCATCATTCTCTATTCTTTATTTTTTACCTTTTTTTCTCTATTCTTTATTTTTTTAGCCCTTTATTCTGCACATTTTGTCCATTATTCTTTATTGTATAAATCCGACCCAGACTCTCATTAACGAAATTCTGTACATCTACCATTTGTACCCAACTCATTCTATTGTGGTTATTACGTATACGGGCCAACTGTATCTAAGAATTCTACCTTTTATTCAATTTTACAGCTGTTGTCTCTATGTAGTTCTTTCTATCTTTTTATTCTGAGAAAAGAGGTTAGCATTTTCTTTTGTATATGACTTACACATACTGTTCCTTTGTGTAACTTTCAATATTCCACTATTTTTTCCCTTCCTCTAGTAGACAAATTATGTTTTTCCAAAAAAATATAATCAAACAATTTATCCCCCACCAAAATTAAATTATCGATGCCTTATAATACAGTTAAACATTTCAGCTGTAAATATTTCATTTATAAGGAGCAACTAGAAACCTGATTTTATAATCAATGAAAGCAAAAGCAGTTCACTAATCAACGTTTATTTTTTTCTTGTATCTTGTCTGTCCTAGTGTGAGAAATTTGATAGTCTTCGGATTAATATACATTATTTACAACTTTCTGTAAAACTTAACTCAATTATAAGCAGTTTTTATTAACAGAGATATTCTAAAGTGTTAAGTTCCACTTATTTAAGGGTATTAGCAGAAAATAAAGACGTCTACAGGTTTACGATTGTAGCAATAAGTAATCTGATAAAGATAATTGCAAAAAGGGCGATGTTCTGGCGCAAAACCTTAAATGTCTTAAGCTATTCAATTTCATTTTCAGATAGTCTTTAACTTTATTTAATGAAGCTAATGTTAAACAATGGCAGCACAATTTACTTTTAACAGCAGGAGACGCCTGGGGTGTCTGTTCTATATAAAATCAGTAATTGATTCTTTATTATTCCTCTCCGGGGATAAATGAAGCCAAATTTCAATTAGTCTGTTTCTGATAGGACTATATACATATATATATATATATATATAATAAACAAGTGCAAATTTAGGAATTGGTTATTTGTGAGTTCTCTACTTTAGAGTTCCTGAGACGATGCCTTTTTATGTTTCTTTGATTAAATGTTATAATAGTTTCCTACACTTAGAACTCGAAGATTATTAAATAACTGAGAAAAACTAAAAGTCATTCCCGCTGTCTCACACTTCACCATACTCTTTGACGTCAACTTTTATACTTTTCCCAAAACATTATTATGTTATTATTTCACATAATCTTTTCCGTTTTCTCAGAGGTATTATTAAGATTTGTGAAAGACATTGCTTTTTTATTGACTCTTTTCCCAAGGTTTCTTCGTAGTTAATCTAATATTGAGACACATAAAAGATGTTAGGGGTCGGTTAGAAATCGTAAGTCAAAGGAAACACAGCAACACATGGCCTAAAGAAAATCGTAGTTTTGCTTACACATAACTGCTATATAATGCAAGAGTTAATTTTCTTCTAATCACACATTTCATTGCAATAATCATAACATTCTTGACACGTTTCAATTAATGATTTTTAGAATGTTTTCTAAACCTACCAACAAATATGTAAGCGTTTATATAAAATAGGAAGATAGGTTCTGATATATTCACCAGAGACCAGACGACATGATTAGAAGCAACTATGGGTCACCGTATGGCCTTCAACAATAAGGAAAACTCAAACCGTATAGTCAGCTAATAAAGGCCCTCTTATAACGAAATTGTGAAACTAACGGCCTGATTTACGTACGAAACAGTAACAGAGAAACAAATATGATAGACAGCAACCAACGACAACCACTGAATTACAAGCTCCTGATTTTGGATAGGCACATTCAGAATAGGACTGGTTTGAACACGTATGCGAGTGCACAACCATCCTTCTAACCTGTGAAACATTAAATCAAGCTCTAAAAATCAGTGAAAATATTGACTAATCAGATCAACACAAAGCAAAGAAAACAAGTAACAAAAAGTTCCGATGTGAGAGTACTCGCAATTACAGAATGCTAGTTCAAAACAAATAATAACAACTAATAAATAAATCATGTCTCTCAGACTAAAGTATCAATCAGTACACATCCAATGGAATTAATGTAAAAAAGTCATGAAAAGTCTGAGAAATAACATGACCTTGTACAAATTAATGTCAAAATAAAAACAAGTATCAACAGGATGTAGGTACGCAAGTGTTCATTACTGTATAGGAATACATATTTAGTTATGTTTAAATTTCTAAATAACAAAACCAATTGCTAGTGCCGATAAAACAATATTCAAACATCTTATTATTTATATGTTTATTTCTGATAAGCTACCTTTCACATAAGGTAAAAAGAAAATGAACATTTTGTTGACAGTTTCCAATGTAATAAAGATTAAAACAATTCCTTAATCTAGGGTAGGCATGACTTTAAACAGATAAGTTGGACTGCATCAAATAGAGTTTTGTCAATTTAGAAGGGTACCTTTTTAAATTTCCCGTTTATGAATTTAGAAATGATTAGAAAACTAAGGTTTTTAAAAACTAAGGTTCCTAATCCCTCAGGAAAAGTTGACATTAGATGGATTTGATCATCATCTTTAGGTCCCTTTTATATAGCTCTTCGAAAGTTTCGGTTCTTATACATCCTTGGCTTTAAAATATTTGGTTTTGAACGTTCCTGATCAAGGTAAATCCAGAAAAGCGCTAAAAGACGCATATAATTTTATGAAGTTTTCTTTTCTTTTTTTTTATTACAAGAGGAAAAAATTGTAACCATGTTTTGCTTTAATTTATTATTTGGGATCATACTTGTACATAATAGGTCTCCCTTAACATGACATGTTTCTGCAGTTATTCAGTTTTATAAGTAATTTCGACACGAAAAGTTTGCAAGAATTTTGTTAAAAATAAAAATCATTTGTCCTTACATTCTGGTTATTTTTGGTTATCACATGATTAGTATAGAAAAGATAACTCGAAAAAGAGGCAAAAGATACCAAAAGGGATATTAAAACTCACAAGTCGAAAACAAACTGATAATGCCATGTTAAAAAAAAAAACAGTATTCAAAACACAACATAAAAACAAAAGACTGAGCAACACGAACCCCACCAAATGCAGTTTGATTTAATCATTTGATAAAATAAACATTTTCTATTATTTTTCAGAGGCAGTAAATGGATCAATATTACACACAACAGGACGTAATTGTGTTTGTTTCGCTTGTGATAGTTTTGGTTTTTATCGTTGTTATGGTTACTGTTTTAAGTATTGTGGCGTCACGATGGAGGAATGTGCGCGATGATATGGATGGATTGACAGACAATGCAGAAATAGCAACTGATATGTCCGTTTGGTCGGTCCAAGGAACGTACAGGACATTGCCGGATTGAAGTGGAAATAAGGAACAAAAAGGAAAATATATTTCATGATTTCATTAATCAGAACAGAGAAAACTGAGACTCAAATTTTATACGTTTTTAAGAATAGAACAATTCTGCTGGTTAAAATCTTTACATTCGATGGATTTCTAACTTGAGATTTGCATTCAATGTACTTAGACCTTCCCTGTATATATAATCGTTAATGGAGAGGAAAACATTAGTATAAATTGGTAGTATACAGTCTTTTCCATTTCAACCTAAAATCAAATTTCTAAAATAAAGTCTTAGTTTTATAGTGGTTTTGAAGTGTTTTCTTAAACTCCTGCAATTATATATCAAACAAGTATAAAAGGAGATGAATCATAAAGGGCCTATATCGTCATTAAGATGATGAAAAATAAATCCTCCTTTGGTGCACTTGTTTATTTTAATATAATTAGGCTTATGTATTTTTCTAATTACAATGCACGTTTTCTTCCATCATAAAGATTATAGCTTTATACATCAAAAGGACAAATGTCTATGAAAAAAAGCTAAATTTGAAAAAAAAGGTATTATAGATTTGTACAAAACTAGTTAACAGCGCAACCTTATACCCGAGAATTTGGTAGAATGTTAGGTTCTACCAAAGTTCATTTTTGCTGAAATATCTTGGTGGTAATAAGATTTAATTTTAACTATGTTTATATAAGAGAATAAATTGATAAATTTGCCTTTTCCTGGTCATATGAATAGTTTAAAATCTGAACGACTACGGAACATGAAAGATCATTCATTATGCTTGCAAAATATATTGATATCTGATTGATAACAACACTTCAAAATTTTTCCTTTTTTTTGGGGGGCCGATTTGAGGGTTTAATAACACTCGATCTTCCTTTTGTTTTAATTAATAGGACTTTTACATTCATCATAATACCATTGATGACAAATTTGCAGAAATTATAAACCTAAATCTATGTTTCATAAAATCATTCAATAGGCTGATGAACAATTCAAAGATTAGGATATTTTGTTAAAAAAAGATGAACATTTTTGTGATCAGATAGTTAAATGCAGTTCATTCTGTAATTATAAATCATTATAATGAAGGATGAAATTATCCAACAATACTACAATTTGTTCAAATTGACGCAAAGCAGTTCTCTACAATACATTTATACTCGATCGACAAAAGAGCGATTTCTTGCAGAAATTAGGGTTTGGCTCTTCGATTTGACACTTAGCTATAATGACTAAATCTAATTTAATGTAACGGTGTATGAAAACATGACATAAACCTTTTATTTTTATTTTATTAAAAGAAGAATCTAAAAAAATATAAGCAATATCTGTAAATAACATAAACCATAACTTGTAAAATCAAAAACAATGGTTTTAAAAAACTTAAAATATCAAAATGAATTGCACTTTTGTATTCGATTTGACGTAAAAAAAAATTGCTATTTGTGTGAATATTTTTATATGGTTATAGACATTTTCTGTAGAGATTATTATTTATGATTATTCTTATTATTATTTAAATGTGTTATGAACTTTAAGTTTAGAAAATTTTACCATAATTAAAATAGGGTTATGTTATAGAATATCAAGGATATAGAACTTCATTTTAAGGTGGTACCCAACACCTTGACTAATATTAATTTGGCTCGTTTAATTTTCATAAAATTTTGACAAAATGTTTACTTTGACCCTTTGACAAAAATGTAAAAATTTCAAAAAATTTCAACCAACCACTTTATCAGAAAAATTTCATTGGTTATATAGCAGTTTGACAAACACTAATTTTGATCATTGAGAAGCTTAATATTTCCTTAACAATACAACGTGATTAAAACGTCTAGCTGATTTTTACAGAGTTATCTCCCTGTAGTGTTAGGTACCACCTTAATGTGCAAAAATCAGTTTTCAACAATCTGATTAAAATACAGATCATGTGATTACGCTTTGATTACAGCGATCTGACAACGCTCAGCTATACTTTCTGATTGAAAAACCGCCCTTTCGGGGTCCTAATGAATCGCACTTTCAAAAATTAAAAGGATGAAATTTCATGCGCTTGCGTAACAATAACCATAACAGATAGTAGAACAGTGTTTTGTCAGATCTTCGTAAGAAAAGCATGGATACAGGATCCGTATTCTAATCAGATGGAGTTTCAGATATATGTTTAAAAATTTTACCAATATATACCAATTATAAACTGGAAGTTTCATAATTTTCTCAATGGAATTTGGAATTTACCAAATGCGTCAGAAAACATTGTACATAATACCTTTTAGAGAGCACGTGGTAGGGTTAATATGTAACCGAGGCAAATATAGTCTACAAATACCCTCGTGTAGTAAGAAAATATTTACGTCTTTCATGAAATTAATAATACAAATGTTTGATCCTATCATCACTCTGGGAAATGTTGTTATAATTCATTCTTTCTCACAATATTCTAAATACAAAGTATTAAAGAAAAATCAATCGCAACTTTTAACAAAAAATAAATTTTCAAAATTTGAGGCATAAATATTGTATGTCGTATATAATACATTTACATGAATTTAAACGCATATCACACATTTGTTATAGAACAGTTTTAATGTAAGTAACAGTTTTATTTAAAACATTTCAAAGAATGAAAAGGAATGGTTGAATAAGAAACCATTTGATGATAAGTGAAAGCAGTTTTCCATGTAATTGTAATTTGAAATGACATTTTCAATGACAGTATTAAAAGTGTTCTGCAATTTATGTCTCCGCCAATCAGTATTACTTGGTGTCGTAAAAGTTATTCAGATTACACAATCAACAAAGAGCAATTGCTTTTTGAGACTCACTGTCATTTTGCTCATTGACATGACAAAACAATCATAATCTAATCTATAGAATGTATTGTTAGATTGATAGTTCAAATAAAAACTGCACCATTATTAGAAATATATATTACTTTATAATACTATAATAATAAAAATGGAGTTTAAAGTTTTATAAAGTATAACTACTAAATACATACCAAAACTTATACGATCAATTACTGAATCCTGTCCAGTTCGAAGTTGTGTCTCTATGAGATGAAACATGGAAATCATATCTTAGAATCAGCAGCTACACAGAACAAAATGTTTAGTATCTCCCCAAAAGGACGTCGTGGTTTGTGAATCAGCTTTATTTACAAAGTACAACCTGAAACCGTCTTAGGTCAATGTCAAGTGAGGCAGGTGGAATTGGCTATTTTTTATGTATTTTTTTTTTGTCATATAGCTCTTCAACTGTTTCGGTTCTTATACATTCTCGGCTTTCAAATATTCGGCTTTGAGCGTTCCTGATGAAGGTAAATCCAGAAAAGCGCTTCGGAAACATGAAATTATTTAACGTGTTGTTTTCATTTTTTTATTTTTTTAGTACATAACATAATTTCTTATATAAGTGGACACTACGATTACGTAATAAATGGGATATTTCATAATATGCAAGTACCGCAAAACTAACTCCTGGGCGGATGGTACCATCGAAGCGCTATCAATTCGATACACTCCCCATAAAAGCAAACACATTTTTCAAGCACGAAATTACAGTAAAAAACGGATCAATATATCCCACAAAAGCCCGTGAAATCACTAGGTTTCCCTCATAATAAGAAAAAAATCGCATATTTTAATAACAATTACACATTTTTAAATTAAGACAATAATTTGAATGATGGTTTGGCTCATATTTCAGTTCACTCTGTGAAATATTTCAGTATTTCTCACTATTTTCAGAAGACAAAATACTGAGGATAAATCAATAGCAACTTTTAGATAAATTGTATGGCATACATAATACATTATATTAAACAGGAATTAAAACACTACATTTTTCAGAATGTGTTTTAGTTACAAATTTATTTAAAAAATTTCGAAGAATAAAGTGATATAGCTGAACAATTGAATAAGATATATGATTTATCATAAATGAGTTTGAAAGCACATTACCATGTAAAATTTAATCAGAAATATCATTTTCAAAACAGAATTAAATGTGTGCTGCATTTATGGCTCAGCCAACCAGTATTATTTGGTGTCGTTAAAGTCTTTCAGATTACACAATCAACAAATACTCATTTAATTTGGAGATTCACTGTTGTTTTGCTCATTGAGCTGGCAAACACGTTAAGCAACCAACAATCAATCGATCAAATTTATGTTATGAATATTAGATAGTATATTCAAATGAAGCTTCCGTTTCTAAATACAATTTTACTTTCGGGAAATATATAAAAAAAAAAGTTGTTTCACAACCCGCCTACGATAACAAAGCCATACTATTTTTCGGTCTGTGTGTCGGTCAGTCCGATCGATAGTCCCTATTACGATAAGTTTAGGTTTGAGGTAGTAAACAATGTAGTTGTTGTAGTCACATCAAATTAAAATTTGGAGTACAAGAGAGGCTTGATGTCTTATGAATACATATCGCGTTTAAATATCGATTAGAAAACAATAGGCTAAAGAAACCAAGGGGACATTCAAAACTCATAAGACGATTGAAAACTGACAAAATCATGGTAAAAAAAGAAAGACGATTAAAAGACAAACAAACCTACAAGCAGAACATCAATACTACAGACTAAGCAACACTATCCACATTAAAACTTGGGAAGAGTAAGCAAAACTTACTAAAAAAGTGGTAACCGTCATGTTCCTCGAAAGGATGAGTACAACTTTATCACTTGGATATGATTACCCTTCCGGAGCATCTGAGATCACCCCCAGTTTTTGGTGGGGTTCTTGTTGTTCAGTCTTTCGTTTTCTTGTTGTGTTTTGTGTACGGTTGTTTGTCTGTTGGTTTTTTTCATTTTAAGCCATAGCTTTGTCAGTTTATTTTCGACTTATGAGTTTGAATGTCCCTTTGGTGTCTTTCGCCTCTCGTTTGAAACCTTTGGTTCAATCGATTACTCATAAGCAATAACGCTCTATCACGGAAATCATGACAGGAAACGCAAGCCCGTTTTAAGTGGGAAATGTATATTTAATATGCAGGCGCTTCTGCTGGCCGATTGTTGCTAAAAAGAAATAAAGATTATTTCTTTTGTCGCTAAGTTTAGTTCTCAACCGACATTCACTGTCAAATTTTAGACGTAAGTCAATATATGAGGCTGACTTATCTGTGGTATCCTTTATTTCAAATTTAACGGGATAGATAAAGTAAACATTATCACCTAACTTTGAATTATTTAGTAAAATGACACCATCTATATAAAGGAAATTGTTTCTTTTAGTTTTTGAGGTGCTTTTGTACGAGGTCTGTTTAATCCAAATAATGAAACAAGTTAGCAAGCAGAGGTGTACAGTTTGTTCCCGATTGTTGAAAAATACGTTCTCCGAACGTAACAAATATGTTGAGATCTCAAAAAACATGTTTAACCCCGCCGCATTTTTGCGCCTGTCCCAAGTCAGGAGCCTCTGGCCTTTGTTAGTCTTGTATCATTTTTAATTTTAGTTTCCTGTGTCTAATTTGGAGTTTAGTATGACGTCCATTATCACTGAACTAGTATACATATTTGTTTAGGGGCCAGCTGAAGGACGCCTCCGGGTGCGGGAGTTTCTCGCTGCATTGAAGACCCATTGGTGGCCTTCGGCTGTTGTCTGCTCTATGGCCGGGTTGTTGTCTCTTTGACACATTCCCCATTTCCATTCTCATTTTTATGTCAATATAAAAATCGAGTATTTTTTATGATGTTAGTTTCCGTGAATTTTCTGCTTGACTTCGAGTAGTTTATTACAAAGTATCATTTTCTTAAAACAAGATAAAATTTATCTGGGTTGGCCATTCTTTTTTTTAGGAAAAACAGTTTGGCCTATTCTTTCAATGTGTCTTTAGGTTTAGAATGAGGAATACTAATGTAAAAAGTCAGATTTTTAAACTATTGCACGAAGAGAATGACTTTGATTGTGTGTACACTGACATATTGTTTGAATCTTTTAATATTCATATCTGATTCACACCACCTCTATAGTACTTAGTTTCACAGTTACTCAAAAGACCGAGTTTGATTCCTAATAAGATAAACGTTGATTATTTTTAAGGGGTTTCGCGCAGTTTTTTACAGATATAGCAGTTAGTTGTTTGAAAGGACACTTATTTTATTTGGGTATCCAGTAGAGCGAAGGAAGATAAAGTTATTCATCTTTGGTTGACATTCAAAAGGACCATAAAACCATTCTTCATTAATCAGGATTCCCTCCTTGTAAATATCGTGGGAGTATATTTTGGGATTCCAAATATATTGTCACCACCTCATTCCTTTATCAAGCAGTTAATATAATGTGATTTTCAAACAAAATCGATATTGTTCATTATCTGACTTATATACCGTCAAAAATATTATTTTTCTGCAAAAAAAATGTTATATTGTATCTATTTTACCGATAACATAAAAGTTGGACATTCTTTTCTATTCTTAGGTTGAACTAGAGATTTCCAGTAAAATGACATAACTCGACATAACCAGCGTATCTGAACGTATCTTGGCCGATTGCACTGAAGCATGACGGAGGGGAGGATAGACTGCATGATATTTTAGCTCGTTGAATACACATAGTTTGTTGGAATAGATGTTAAAAAATCAACCCAATCTGCTATTTCAAATCTGTACATATTTGTTTTTATTAAAATCTGGATGATTTTATTGAAAACAACCTTTTAAGGGAATAGTTAATCCAGTTACTGGTAATCAAACGCATCGATCATTACTTGGTCATTTCACTTGACCCATATATTTAGTTCTCAAAGGATGAATTTTTAAAACAACTAAAATCAAAATTAAGTTTGAAAGAAGCGAGATGATATTCTAATTTTTGATTTATAAGTTATAAGGTTAAAGCAGGGGTTTCAAACTAGCCAGAAAGTTAAAGGTGTA